GGGGAGAGCACATAACTCGGCGCTACGCAGAATACCTACCCGCGATGAACATCACATGTGAACTCAACAAGAATAATGAACTGAACAGCATCCACACAGATATGTCCTTACCTTTGTCCATTTCCTCTGCCCCTCCCGCCTACGATTTTGATCTTGATGGAAAAATAACCATGATGGGAAAGGTACTACCGATTTTCCATTTGTTAGCTGAACAAAGCATAATTAATTTGAGCATGTCTGATAATGATCCTGAGATCAAAGCAATGCTTGATGCAAGAGATTACGAGTCAAAGGGCATCAAAAGTATGGCGCACGCTGCTGAAACCAGAGGAGACATTATTGACCACTACAAGCATCAGCGCTGGAAGGCCCAAAGTTGCGGATATGGAAGAACTACCTGTCCAACTCATCTCATCGCTGGTTCCGATGCCGCACGCACCATCGAAAACATAGAAGAAACTGGTGGAATCATTACTGAATTCCGTCGCCACCACTGTCGAAAGGGCTAATGTAATAGACACGTGTAGAAGAGAGCTACCTACTGTTTCAAGAAGGGGAATCTATAGCCCCCACAAGTACATTGAGGCCTCCCCACAACACCCCCGCCGGGGAAGCTGGCGAAGGTGGAGGAGGCCGGCGATCTACCGATGGAGGAGGGGTGACCAAAAATGAGTATTGGTGTAGCGTTATGGTGCTGCAACAGAGAATGTGTACAATGGCTGGTGATTGAGAACATAGCTTAAGGAGAGCTGCATTATTGGACTAAACATTGGGCACAATTTTGGGCTGGATAGTGTCAAGGTCACCAGAAATTGTTGACGAAAAAGGGTTTCCCATCGCTTTATATTATAAAGCAACCACCGAATCACATGTTCAACAAGACAAAAGAAAGGAAGAAACAAACATAAACGACAAAGATACAAGATACCAAAGGAGCCACTGACAAGCCTCGAATGCACCAAGCACAAGCTTGATCATCGATGCCCTCGGCGAACAGGAGGCAACACACGCCGCAACTAAGCCGAGGTAGAGCCCGCTGCAGGAGGATTGTCACGCTCCATCATCTCCCTTGAGCCAGGCCATCCAGTCCGCCATCCATCTCTACCTCCGACGAGAGCCCCCTGCCCTCTAGTCCTTGATCGGAGGACACTGTGCCGTCGATAGGCAGAGTCGCTCACCCCTGAGCTCGCATGACCAGGACCAATGGGTTGTCGTGGACGGGATGACAAGCACGACTACCGCACCAGCAGCCGCACAACCCAACATCGCCAACGCCAACTTCAACCGCAAGGGGCCGAGCATGGACACCACTAACGATATCCAGCAGCCACCTCCCGTGCTGAAGCCTCGACCACCACTCTGGCGCCCCAAGATGGTGTCTTCAAGAAGAAAAACAACGCTGGAGCGTCGTCACCACCCAATCCGAAGATTTGGGATTTTCACCCGGGACGAGGAAGAGAAGGCGAGGGAGGGATGGCGAAGCCACCCTCAAGAAGGGGAATGACGCCGGAGCGCCGCCTTCATCATGGCCGCAACGAACAACCCATGGTCAAACAAGAGGAACCACCATCGCCAGATCTGCTCCAAGGTCAAACGGGGAAGTGCCAGGAGCGAGGCACGCCTACGATCACCGCCGATCCGCCGATCCGCCGCCCATGCGGCCAGGAGCGGCGCTCCCCGCATCAGCATCAGCCACCCACCGAAGGGGGGCCGACTCGTTCCACCAAGGTGGCCGCCGCCACCACGCCAGGCGCACCCGCTCGGAGAGAGCACCGCCGAGGCCAATGTGCCGCCGCCACGCACCGACCCCGCCACGCCCTCAGCCAGCACCACGCCGCCATCCGCTGACCCACACCCGCGTCGGCCCTAGCGAGCAGGGGAAGGAAGGCCCCTTCGCCGTCGAGGCTGACTGGGCTTCGCCCGTCACCACGAGCCGGCGGCGTCGAGAGGGGAGTCAAGGAGGAGGGGGGCCTGCGACCAGCGGCTAGGGTTTCGCCTCCGCGTCACTCGTGGGAGCGACCAGGAGGGGAGGGGGGTCGGTCACCAGGAATTGTTAGAATGTAATTCCATAGCCTTACACGTTGTTGTATATACAACCACCGGGTTAGTAATGCATAACTATGAGCATTTGCATCACAAGTTCTTCTCTAAGTTCAGCCATTGCTCATTGCTATGATACCTCCAAGAATTTACATGTAAAGCCCATCCATATTGCTGGTGCATAACTAAGCTGTCTACATTGTAATAAGCAATATAGTGCATTCAGCACAACAGTCTCGAATTCACACGAAGACCACCACCACCATTCAGTTTCCTACCAAAACATTCCTGGATGCAACGTAAAAAAGTTTAGCAGATCAAGGCAAGAGCAAGCATATGTTACTTCAGCAAACATCTCATGAATCTGATTACCTCCAATAAGGAGAACAAGCAAACTACAGATAGATGCATGGAACAAACATAACACTTAACTACAAGCTCAGGCACATGACATTTATTTTAGGATGTAAACCCCTGTATATTTCATCCAAATTGGAATTAACTACACAACAAGGTTTAACAGAAGCAACAATAGGTAGCGCAAGTTTCTGACTCCTGGAGCTCAGGATGGCAAACACATAATTTTACAAGTCTTCATCAATCTCGCGACACAGCGTCTACCCATGGAGGGACATTCAGCTACATGGAGACAACCGCTCGGCACGATCTCATACCCAAGATGCACAGGATGTCGGACTGCGAGCAGCATGGGCGTTGATCTTCACAAAACAAGGTTCAGGCACCCACTCCCCATCTTGCTCGCCGTCTGCTGGGTATGAAAATACCCGGCCATTTTGATCCAACTGGTATACCTGTCCACCCCTCAGCCCTATCCTCTCTGGGTTCACCAACAGTCGTGGCTGGCCAATACGTCTCTCGCTAAAGAAGAACGCCCACTTCAACAAGCCTCCATCTGCCACCCTCACGTACTTTGCAGGTTCAGTCGAAAATTCTATGGAGAGGGCTTGCCTGTTACGACCAAATAGGAGAAGCATGTCTTCACAAGCCACCAACGTTCCAGAAAGCTTGGATGGTTTATATTATCGCTGCAAGCAACTCTTAGTACCTCAACATGAAACTGAGGTGCCAAATGCACGACGTACAGCTTTTGACATATCCTCGCAATGACTAGGCCTTTGAAGGCCACCATCTCATGGATCAAATGTGCCTGTAGAAAATCACAGTGCAACCAAGAGGGGCTCCCAACTCGCCAAGCGTACAGGCAGTGCGGACCGCTGACAAACAGATATGAATCCGGCCATGCTTCTGGAAATATGAATGTTCTATAGCAGAGCTGAATAGATGGGCAAGGTGGAGCTGCAACCATAATGCCACTAAGCACGTCCATAATGACATGGGATCTGCCGGAGGAGAAGATAGCATGACCATAAGAACATTTTAAAAATTCCATTGTGTCCAAAATATTTGGGGGGCTCAACCAACGTAATGTAGTACTTGGATAGGCAAGATCAATGAGCTCCCATGTTTTTCCGCTGTTGGAGTCAGTTGGGCTTGTCTGGTCGGCACAGTTTCGAAAAATAACAGGCGGGAAGATCATGTCTAAGGCAGGCTTAATTGACATGAACGCGGAACGCCAACTGGGGCAGGTGGCGATG